TGTGTGTGTGTGTGTGTGTGTGTGTGTGTGTGTGTGTGTGTGTGTGTATGCATGCACAGGTGCATATAGCTGCATGAGGGTGTGCTTTTGAATCCCCATGTGTCTTTCCTTCATTGTTCTCCATCTTTAACAGAGTCTATTACTGAACTTGAAGCTCATCTTTAGGCCAGACTGGCTGGCTAACGAGGTTCAGGAATTTTCCCATCTCTACTTCAGCCCTCCCCCACCGAGGCTGGCGTTCCAGGCACACGCCACCATGCCCAGCTTTTGACATGGGTTATGCAGAGCCAAAATTGATTCCTTACACTTGTGGGATAGGTCCTTTATTAACAGAGCCATCTCCCCAAACCTCTCACCATAATATCCTATGCAAAAATGTAAAAATTCTCTACCGCACCCATTTGTCAAGAGTTTCAGTCCTGTGGTTGGCTTTTAGAGACTCAAATTACAGCTACAACTGTTCACGTGTGGTTCCTTGCCTGCTACTGTGTCACTGCCCAGATCTCCGGCATAGCTGATGTGCCTGTGTCCACACATGATATGATCTTTCTAGGCCTTTCCACTTCTGAGCAGCACTGTTTTTCAACACTCCCTCCCTGACTTCTCCTTGCTTTTCTTTCACACTCTCAACTTCCACACCTAGTCTCCATGGCATGGTTTCACACATCACTATCTATTTTCACGTTGTTCTTTTCTTATTTCATCTGTGCCCATTCTGTCTTTCCAAGCGACCCCATGCTGGTCTAGTATTCTTGGCTCACATCATGTCTTACGCTTATTTCCAGGGTCTCACCACCATGAGGAATGTGCCATAGCATCTTATAAGCTGCTGTTTAATGACACACTCAAGGTTTTAAAAACAGTTATGTGACACATACTGTGAAGAAAACAGCTATGCCAGCTGCCCACTTACCAGAGAAGACGCTAGGTATCTTGGAAAGGAAGCTTTTGACGGTGCGGATAGGAATTCCATTTTTTTCATCTTGCATACGTGCTATGACATCTTCCATCTAAACACAAAATAAAGAAGAACTTTAGAAAGTTGAACTTTTTGAGAAAATTGCTGTTTCGTAAAATTTTTGAACGCCAGCCTTGAATAATAAAAATAAATCTATATTATTGTCTTTATAGACTTTGTTATATTAATACCTTTTAAGTTTGGTTATCAAGAGGTGGAAAAGAGTAGCAAGTGAGAAAACAGGCTAATTGAGATGCATTAAACTATTGATAAGGATTTTGTGCCTTTAACATTACCTTTGACCAGATTACATACTCTTCTGCTTAAGAAGTTGGAATAAATTGTATTTGGGTCAGAAAGCACTGTCAGAAAATTCACATTATCACAACTGAACTCAGTCCAAAAGCAAATGAAGCCTGGAATGATCCATGTAAAGTTCCTGTTAAAGCGGGTGCTTCTACAGTTTAGGTTAATATTCTTGTTCAACCTGCCAGAAGATGTGGGGCAGACTGGAAACCGCTAGCTCCTTCATTTCGTAGTGTGAGAAGAAACACACACACACACACACACACACACACACACACACAAGAGAGAGTTAGTGAACCTTCTACCATAGTCTCTGTGCTGTGATCTTTGTTTCATCTTGTTAGTCCAACCTCCGTTGCGTTGAAGTAGTTTCATAATTCTAAAAGTTTCCTCATCACCAAGTCTTGGTGGAATTTAGTTCTATAGTAACCATTCAAAGCAAAGCCTCAGACTCCTTTTATGTGCTTCATATCTACGTGACATAAATCCACAACAGAATACCCAAACTGTAGTGTAGGACGAAAACCCCATTCATTCATTTCTCAAATCTGTAGTCAGTCAGTGATCACCAACTCCAGATCAGAATCACCATCAGGTGCTGGGATATGAAAATCCAGGTAACTGTGGCATGCTTATTCAAGATGCTAATACTGAAGGAAGCCAAGTAATGGCCCAATGGGAAATCCGTGTTATTTTTTCTTTAAGTCTAAAATTATTTCAAACTAAAAAGCTTTAAAAAAAAAAAAAAAAGGCACACTCTCTACTTTATATCAGTGAGTCATCTAATTCCCACTACATAGTTTCAGAGTGATTTTCAACCAAAAAATTCCAATTTGCTTGGATGAATGTCATCGGATTTTCTTAATATGTGAAATACCTGGGTGGGAAGAATGGGTTTTCGTGTAAAACAAGTCTGGATTTGATTCTTAACTATTATAATTACTGCACTTTGAGCAAGTTAAACAATTTCACTAAGACTCACTCTCCTCTTTCATAAAATAGTAAGGACAATGCTTAGAGAATCGGTCCTCTACAATGTTGTGTGGGAGCCCGGTGTTGGGACTGGGGTGGAATGAAATATTTTAAAGTTACATAATACAGTCTACCTAATGCTCAGCAAAAAGATAGGACAATAATCATTTGACTTGAAATGCTCTTTGTACCCCTGAGACCTTTAGGAATGTCTCTTCTCCATCTTCAGGTTTTTCAGCAAATGCCGACATCACTAGCTGTGCCCAGCTGCCTGATCACATTTCAGCACTAACTCCAGGGAAGCCAGGCTCATGAACACACCAGCCAGTAATGGTATGAGAACAGAATGAGAAGCAAGCTCCCCGGGGTCCATCCCTCTTTGCTTATCTTGAAGTCTACACCGTGACCTGCACCAGAGGGGCGGTTTCTGTGAGTTATCAAGTGTGCTCAAGAGAAGTGGGCATCAGGGCAGACCCGTAGGTGAACAAATGAGTGAAATTAAGGTCATTCTCTTGCCCTTCTCCTATTCCTTTCTCTAAGACTGATGTGCTCAGTTCAAACAGAAATGAAAGAAATTTTGATTATCAGGCCTCCAAATCCCTAACAGTAATCAAGCACTCTACTCCAATAATGAAGATATCTAAGTATAGAAACATGAAATAGATATTCTATCAGACTCTTTAGCTACTGTTTGCCCTTGATTCACCTGACGCAATGTTCAGAAGTGAAGAATAAGCTGCTTCGCCTGCCCCATATCAGCCCGTAAGCCCCTGTATTATCTGCTTAAAGGCTTAAACTGGGTCGATTAGACAGCGGCAGAGCCCCTCCTCTGCGGTCAACCAGGAGCGTGGCACTGATGAACACCAGTACAGAGCATGCGTAGAGGCACTTTTTCCATGCTCACCCCTGTGTGGAGGGGCACCATGGAGCAAGGCTAGGAGGTTGAAAGGCTAGCGTGACTTATGTCACTGCGCCTCACTAACTTTCCTTTTTCTTGTGCCATCATTTCTTCTGTATTTTTTCCTAAGATGGGGCCTTGCTATGTAGCTTGATTTGAGAGCCTTCTGCCTCCACCTCCTGAATGCTCAGATCTAAACCATAATTTCTATAACAGGAAAAATGTTATCTGTAGTGTGAAAACTAGAATTTGCATTCTAAACTGAGAATACGAATTTGGAAAGGTGTTTAGCTGTTTCAATGACTGTTTGGATATGATTTATCCATAAATGTCACTATGGACTACGTGAGCATCAATGAACAAATGAATCAAACAGCAACACAAGCCAAAATCAAATGCAAAGAAATAGCCTGGTTCCTAAACCCTAAAGTGAGCTACAAAAGCTACCTGTTTAAACCTGTCCTCCAACTTCTATCAGAGGATGTGTTAATCTTATGTCAGTCTTTAAAATAAGATTAATTATCTGCCTTAGAACCATTAGAAACAACAGTTGGCTAAGAAAAAAAAATTAAACCCAGGCAAATCAGTTAATAAGGGAAAGTGAATAGGAAGAAAATAAGAGATTATAAAATTAAATCTAACAAATATTAAATGTGTCTTTAAATTAATTTAAAGATCAAAGAGGAAAACACACACACACACACACTTTAAGAGTTCCATGAGAAGATTTAAGACACACATGTATGTTGTATACATTTGGTGTGTGTGTGTACACACGTATGTATAAGCACATACACACACAGAGCCATTGCTATCTTTAAGACATGGGTTCTAGTACTCAGCAGACACACTCAACACCACAGACGCTCATGTCCCTCCTACAAAATGACATCATCTTTGTGCATATCCTTGGCCACCATCCTGAGTATGTAATGTCACCTTCGGGCTACTGATAATATCTAACACAACATTAGTGCTCTGAAGTCATTCCATTGTATTTTGGGAAGATAATGGCAAAGAAAAACATGTACGGCTCAGTTCTAACTTAGAGTTTTTGTTGATGGTGCTTGTAGTGGTTCCTCAAAAATAGGGAATTTGATTAGAAAAATATCAGAAAGGATATTTGTGTATCTAAGACCGAAGCAGGCGAAATATGAAAACGGCCACTTAGACACAATGAGGCTGCATCCTTTTCTGAGGAGAGGAAAATATTGCTCTCAGGTTTTCTTCACAAATTTCCCTTCTTGACCTCTTTAGAAGAATGAAGACAAGGAATCCACGAGAGCCCTGTTGGTACAACCAGCGGTCTGTCCTGTACAAGCTAATTCATTTTTTTACAAAAGTTGAGCAACTGCCTTTTGCAAAGTCCCTTTGGCAATGCCTACCTCAGTGCTTTCAAAACTTTTTAAAACTGATGTCATGAAAGCATTAATGTTTGAACTCTGAGGACAACTTCATTTTTCCCTGGGATGAGAACTTATTGAGAAAATAAATCTTATTCATCCTTGTAATAAAAATACATTAAATGTCTGGTAAATAATAGAGGTTCTGTTTAAGGGGAAGAAAAAGGCAAATTACTGTTTTAGGTTTTTTATTGTTTGTTTGTTTGTTTGTTTTCAAGATAGGGTTTCTCTGTGTAGCCTTGGCTGACTTGGACTTACTTTGGAGAGCAGGCTGGCCTCGAACTCACAGAGATCCTCCTGCCTCTGCCTCCCTGAGAGCTGGGATTGCAGGCTTGTGCCACTGCACCAGGCACAAATTGTTGTAAAGAGGAAAGTTCAGTGAATGGGAAACTATGTTATGGGGTATTTGAAATTACATTTCTCTTTATATTATTTAATATGTGATATAAAATGCTAATGTTAGAACCAGCCGGACGATACACTGCACTCTACCTATAAGCTAAAAGAGCTCTCGTCGGCTTTGAGTGCCACTGAAGGCACGGGTCTCTCGACTCTCGTACTAGAAGAATGTCTCTCCTGAGTGTGCCACATTAAGTCAGTGGCGGGATCTCATGCTGTCTTCTTGTCAGTGTGACTCCAGTTCACAGCCATATGTAAGGTCTCAAGATAAAGTTTCTATTGAACGCCAATATGAGCTCTTTTTACGGGAATCCGTAATTATCTAATTTCTTCTGGAACGGCTTAAGCGAAAGCTCCATGCTTGGGATGACATTCACTCATCAATGAGGACAAACAGTCCCAGCCCACACAAAGCAAAAGCACATTGTGCAGACCTATCTTTAAAGAGCTTCACATCATTGAAGAGAGGCACCAGGCAGATCCCCACATCCTGATGAGAATCCTTCCTAGTGTTCTTAACAAAGAGAACTCAATTAAATTAAACGTGTAGTTATGTTTACCAGGAAGTTTTCTACAATATCATTAGCACTGAGTTCATTAGCTCCAGTCACTCTCTGAGACACACTGACTGCCAGCAAAGCACTGGAGTAAAGCTGAAACATGTTATACCACCATGGCTCTGAGAGAAAAATGAACCGATCCAAATTTCAAAGGAAGTTTTCCAACTTTGTGTTGTAACCCACCATTAAGTGCAGATATTTGGAGACTTAATGAGAGCTGCACTGAGCATCTTGAATGTTTTTTTTTCTTGTGTGCACATTCTTTCAATTTATCGTGTGCACTGTCGTTTTAAGTGTTAGCTGTGTGGAAACGGTAGAAATGACCGCTAAAGCACCCCTTAGATTCTTTAGGCAATTAGGTTGAGTCAGGTGTGCTGAAAATTAAGTCTGCTTGTGTTCTTGTTCTTTCAGAAAGCTTTTCCAAGGGAAACAGTGATGTGTGCTTCTGAGGTGAACAGAGAAAGCACAGCCAGTTTCTAATGAGAGTTAAATGATAATGAGATTAAAATTTGCA